CAGCTCTCGCCACAGTGGGTGTCTGGACTTTGGCAAGTACTCCAAGCATTACCTAAGCACAAATGCTACACAATAGAAATATCAAATCAGTTGAGGCTTCCTAATCCCCTCTCTGTGGAGGTCTGGTTTGACTCCAAAACTCCTTCAAAACTCATTAAAATATTCTGTGCAAGCAACAATTTCCTTTGCTTCTGCTCCCAAATCAAATGGAACAATCTTCTGGGAAATAAGAAACTGTAGGTGGAAAAAATGGCATTCAGATAAGATTTTCCCTTAAACTATTTCTCTGTAGTATCCTTCTGATGGCATGGTGCTTGCATGATATTTAACCCTTCATAAGAACATAGAAACTCAGATTTTTTTAAAAGGCTGAGACCATTAGCAGAGAGCAGACACTGTTTCCAGGTGAGCATCACAAGACTGTGCTGTAGGAAGAGAAACAGATATCCTTCCTCCCTGAACACCTGAATATTTATACTACATCTATGAAACTGTTACAACAGTTTGGGAGAAAATTGCTGTTCAGGACAAGCAAATATAGTGGGCCCACAGTTCTTGCTCTGTCAGGCAATGTGCTCTGAGCTCTAAAAAGTATTCTTCAGAGATCAGGACACAGTTTTATTCAGTAACGTAAAAAAACCTAAGGAAAGCTAGATTCCCATTCTAAAATATTGGGAAATCAAAGCAAATATCTGCAATAGTCTGAAGGCAAAAGATAAAACAGACGAGGCTTTTTTTTCATAACCACAGCTAGTTCCTCTTTTTCAGATTTAATTGCATTCAGATGCTCACTTATCATTCTTCACAGAGCACTCACCTTCCTGAGTAAACAGGAAAAGAGGCGGATAGTGCCATATTTGGGTTCCTTTCAGCCCCAGAAGTAATGATCTAATTACTTGATCAAATAGTCCCTAGAGCATGGACTAGACAAGCCACTTGTTTTCATGTGAGGCTAATTGCAGTCTATACTCAGCCTCCTGGCATCTCAGCTATGCGACGATTTCCAAAGCCGGAGCAAGAGACCGGCAGCCTGGAGACCAGCCCCACCAGGAAGCTGCCCTCGGTGCTGGATCACACCCTCGCACCTTCCCCGGGTAGTTGTGGTAGGGAATGATGAGAGGGGAAAGTTGGGTTTTGTAATGAAGCCCCAGACTTTAATTGCAACAAAGTACAGGAGAGTGGGCTGGGAAGGCCTTGCCATGCTGAGAATATGGGGAAAATCCTTCATTTCTATGAAAATGCTTTGCTCACCAAAATGTGGGTAGTGTACTATATGGGATGCTGCACATAAGCAAAATGAAATACCTGATGCTGACCAGTGTTGGATGCCGCAGAGGAAGAAAGCTTACTTAGGAGGCTTTTAGGTAAACCAAGCGATCCAAAGAAATCCAGAGGTGTCATATTTTTAAAGCAGTGTTCGGCAGTTTAGGAAATAGTTGTTGTTTTTTTTTTTCCTAGCAGAAATACAGTTGAACAGCCCAAAATGGTGCATGTCCAAATGGTTGCACAGGGAAAAATTTCAGTTTGAGATGTTTCCATCAAGAATCATGACATCTGCACATCCTGAAGTTTTGTATTTACGTTAACAATCATGTCTCCGTGACCATGCGGTGTTTCATGTCTGCAGGCAAAATTTTTACAGTCATAGGAAAATGGCTCCAATCTTGATGTGCCTCCATCTTTGGTAGCTCTTAGTGGTGAAATATGAAGTCTCTCTTGGATTATTTAGAGCCAAAAGTGTTGACCATGTTCTTTTTTTACTGAATTTTTCAGAAATATTCTCCTGAGCACCGGAATACAGTGCTCGGGGGGCTCCTCTTCTGCAGCACCAGCCAAACCTCTGGGTAGGGGAGTCTCTCTCCTCCTGGGCTCCAGGAACCTATTCTAGTTCAGGTTTGCGCTCTGTCGTGCTCTTTTCATCAAAGCGCGACCCATCACACCAGCCTCTGGTTCTGCAAGAGACCTTAACGTGTGCCGTTTAATTAAATAGATCCCAGAAGTGTCAGATTGGGAAAAAACCACTTCTTTTCAGCTCTTTTGCCAAAGAAGGATGGCCACAAAAGGATATCGCTGTGAGGTCCTGACTCACTGAAGTTAATGTGACTAGTCAAATGACCAAATTGCTCATAAATATAATAGAGATCCACAAATAAGTGTCAATTAAGAATAATACTCCAGCCCTCTGATGTTCCCACATGTTACAAATGCAGATCAATTTATATCTCCTAAAATGTCTATTTCTTTTAGAAGTCGTTACAATTTCTTGCTAATGAAATATAACAATAGGGTATACAATAACCCACTACAGAAAAGGAGACGTAGGACCGGTCCTCAGCATTGGTTTTAGAGGTGAGCCTGGAGCCCTAGGAAAGCATGAAGAACTGCACAGACCGGACTATGAGAAACTCCTCAGCAAGATAAGTGATGGGGGCTGCTGCTGTGAGGGGACCTAAAAGTACTGGAGGACAATTTCTTGCTCAGCATTACCCAGCAGGGTTAGCTCTAGGATGAGAAGATGGGGAGAGATTAATCTGGCAAAATATTAGGCACCTAAACCTGAGCTAGTTGCTCTCTGTTCGTTTTACAATCTGTAGGTTCTATTTGATGCAGTCATGGGTGTTTCTCCGCACCCTGAAGCAGATGTCTAACACAAGCAAACCACACTGTACCAGTCCTTATTTCCTCCTATCATCTGTAAAGCCGCCAGTGCAGCGGTATGGGTCTTGGGGGGAGAAACCGCACATGATGCACCCAGTCCGTCCAGCAAAGGGAGAGGAGTGGAAAGACTGAATGAACAATGAGCTGCTGCTGGGAGGATGTCAAGAGCAGTGCAAATCCATCAGCTCACATGGGCTTGGGACAGGAATTCCAGTCTCCCCATGTAAACACTAGAAAGGAACCAGTGCTGATGCCTGTAATTCTACAGCGGGACTCCTGGTTTCCAGTGTAAACAGGATGCACTGCTCACGCTGAACGGGTTGGGGTTTGGTGTGGGTTTTTTTTTTTTCTTTTTCCATTTAGCATTTGTGTAAGTGATCTCATTAGCGAATTTGATCACCTAAATATAGTCTGATGATCACATTCCACCTCCGTGATTGGAATTTCTCAGAGAAATAAAGATTTTCTGTGCTGCGGAGCTGAGTGAGATATCATGATCAGGAAAAGGCTTCAATATGCTAATATGGAGTCCCAGGCCTAAATTCCACTTAAACTGAAACCCTTTACACTGCTCTGGCAGTGAAAAGTGCCTTCAAAAAGTGTGCCACTTTACTTTGCCCTGAATGGCTCGGAGAGGTCCTTAAGGTAACTGGACTTGTGTCCCCATTGGCACTGCCAAGCATGAATGTTGTTAATAGAGGGTGGAGAGGAACGGGTCGCGTGTATTTAATGGTTAAAAAGGTGTTAGAGAAACAGCTACCTCAACAGTTTGTAGAAGCGCTGATGGCTCACTGTAGGATTAGATGTTTCTTACCATGAGAATTAAGACATGATATTTCTCATAGTAAATCAGATCAATTGTCCATCTTCCCTAATAACAGCTATCCATTCTTATTGCATTGAAAAAAACCTAAGGTATCATTCAGACATTTATGGAAATAAGGAGATGAAAAAATCCAAGCATATTAAATCTTCTTTGAAAAGCAATCAATTCGGTACCTGATTTTTTTTAATTACTGTGTCATTCCCATTGGGAACCACATGACTCAGGTGTTAGGTGGAAGCAGAATTTGCTCAGGATCACATGCTTTTCCTGGAAGAAGGTTTCCATCAAAAATTAGGATGTAAACAAATATGTAAAGCATGTATAGGTGGAGCCTGTTCAGGTAGTTAGTGGTCAGGTGTCCATACCCCCGGGCTCCCTTGTTTCCGGAGATGACGCCATGCAAGCCATATAAAAAGGTTGCATTTTGATGCTCACAGCAGTTCATTTGATTTCTCCCTCCCTCACCTGCATTGGTGAACGGGTAAGTCTTTCTTGGATTCATCAGGGAATAATGCGATGGCTGTGTTACTCGGTTGTTCTGGTCAAAAGACTGTATTACTGATCACAGGAGAGCTTTGCTTCTGGTGTTACTGTTCCAGGATTTGTCCTGGAATGGGGGAGAGGATGTTTGACTCTTGTTTAAAGTTTGCTCTTCCTTAAGTAGCTTGCAAATGTCCTGTCACCTCTTCAGAAACTGCGACTGTCTCTCATCATTCTTCGTATTCTACCTTCATTAATTTTTTCATACCTCATTAAGTCTGGAAATTAAATAAATTAGTGGATGCTGCAGAGTAAGTCTTGGGACTTCCAAAGAGATGGGTGGGAAGATGCATTATCTGGAAGAAGGAAGCTGCAGAATACCTGAGGGCAAAGCTGCAGGAGACATCTTGGAGAAGTCAAGATGAGGAAATGAATTGAAATAGGAGCTGCAACCTCCGGGCCAACCCTTCTTTTATGAAAGGATGGGCCTATTAACTCTGATACAACTCCAGTGATGTACCATGATATACAGCTGGAGGATTTGGAACAGCATCTGAATTTTTGGTCTTTGGGCTTTATCCTTGGGGATTAGCAGTTCAACGTCTATGCAAAGGGGGATGTGCTCTGTGGTGTGTGTGAGGAACTGAAGAAGTGATAAGCAAAAGATGGGCCCTGGAACATCTGCTGATTTAATTAAGAAAATGAACTATTTTCATGTTACGGCTTCTACAAAGTTTAACTGTGTGCAATTCTATAAAATTCAGGGTTTATGGCTGTAGTCTTCCTAACAGTGATGTTTGCAGGTTCCCAAGAAAGGAAGGAATAATCTGGCAGTGTTAGTTGCATAAGTCTGAATCCACAAATCATTCACACGTGCAATTTTTTCTAACACTCCTTTTCTCAGACCAACAGCTAACTGCTACATACGTTTCAAGAGCTCAGGTTGTGAACTGTGGCTTAAGGAGAAAGGACAAGTGTCTTGATTTTGTATCTCTCTTCTTATCTTTGTCTTTAGCTTTACCAGCACCTCAGAAGGATGTCTTACTACGAGCAGTGCAAACAGCCCTGCCTGCCCCCTCCCATTTGTGTGCAGAAATGCACCAAGTGCGTGGAGCCCTGCAAGACAGTGTGCGTGGAGCCCTGCAGCAGTGTCTGCGTGAAGCCGTGCCCCACACCGTGTGTGGAGGTCTGCCCAACACCCTGTGCCACCCAGTGCACCACATCCTGCGCCACCCAGTGCGTGGAGCCTTGTGCCACCCAGTGCACCACATCCTGCACCACCCAGTGCGTTGAGCCCTGCGGCACCCCATGCGTTGAGCCCTGCAGCACCCAGTGCGTTGAGCCCTGCAGCACCCAGTGCGTGGAGGTCTGTCCCCCTAAGTGCATCGATGTCTGCATAAAGCCATGTGCCACTCAGTGCCCAACCCATTGCACCACCCAGTGCCCAGAGCCCTGCGTCAGCCAGTGCTGCACCCAGTGCGTGGAGCCCTGCCCACCCCCATGCGTGGAGGTGTGTGCCACCAAGTGCGTTGATTCGTGCGAGACGGTGTGCCTGGAGCCGTGCAGCACGGTCTGCTCTCACCCATGCTAATCGCCTTAATGCATGAGCCTCGCATGCAGCCCTGATGTTTCGGTGCATTGCAGTATCCATAGGCTCATGAGCATCCACGGAATGAAAAACAGGTTACAGACCCACCCGCGACGTACTGAGACCTCTCCCGACCTGGTTACCCCGTGCTCTCTTTGTCTTGGAAATTATTTTTCTGAATGTTTCCAGCCTATATCTTTGCTTCTTAGGATATTTCTGCTACTGCTATCTCAGCACCTTTTTCTTGGTAACTGCATTTGGCCAATATTATTCTGCTGGGCATCTGGGGAAGTTATTTAGCAATGGCTGTGCTGTAAGCAGTTGATGTTGGAAGATGTATCCCCTTCCATTCTTTAATTCTCATCTTGTCTTTTAATGTATGTCCTCTTGTCTTTTAATGTCTATGTGTAGCAATAAAAATTGACCATCGATGGCATAATGTGTCTTCTGTCTTTCTTTCATCTCCCTGTTTCCATGTCTTTGGACCCAAGAACGTCTTCCTTTAGCTTTCCTTCTAAAAGCTGTTATGGTTGTGGAGGATTTGTGCCTGCAATGCAGTGCTGTAAACAGAGAGAGCATGCATTATAACGTGGAGCAATGTCTCCTAAAACCATAAACAAATCATCATCCGGTCAATACTTTTCTGACAGATATAAAAAAAATTAGCTTTGTCCTACTTGAAAATAATGATAGAAATTTAATTTTCACCTTTATTAATGATAGAATTTTGATCTTTATATCTCTGGATTTTGGAGGCAAATCTTAGAAACTGTTAAAAGGTGAATTTAAGTGGAAGAAAGCCCCAAATCCAAGAAAGAAGGAATTGAAACGTTCTTGCTGGGATTTTAATTGTTTCATAAAAACATTCTGATGGAGATGAAAACGGTATTTTTGATGAATTCTTCCCATGATCCTCACTGACTAAATATAGAATTTGGCTTCAGGAGATGAATCTTTTTGTGGTTCAGGAACAGGTCTGAGCCCTGCAAGATTGCAGCTGTGTTCCCAGGTTTGCTGCAGATACTTTGTGTGGCTTTGGGCAGGTCTCACTCTTTTTATCTATCCATTCCCCATCTGCAACGAGGAGAAGTCACATCCCTGACTGATAGAGTGGTTGGCATTTCGGGTTCATTAACGTCTGGCAGGTACGATAATATTTTAATTCACTTATAAATGCATCTTGTATTTTCGGAGTCATAATTTTGACACTGAAGGAGGCCCATTGTCTGGAGGGACGTTATACCCATTTAAATGCTGAGTTTCAGAGATAATGCTCCCATTGTCTTCCATACTGTGCATATGACTTGCTTACCGCTGTCTCCATGATGGCCACACAATTTCCATGTCTGGGATGTAGAGAATTGCTATCCACCTACCATATCATTATGGCAAGGGTGGAGAACATCTAATCTAGAAAAGAAAAGAGTTATATTTAGGTGTGTGTAAACACTGTTACCAAAGCAGCTTTTAATGAAACCTTGTGTGCAGGTGTAGAGAGTTTGACAGTAGATTCCTTTTTGTGTTATTTCTGTCAACACTGAAAGGTGACACCATCAAACAGGAATAATGATAGGCAAAACATGTCTCAGGCATGTCTAAGGCAAACAAATTCTACACCTGAACACACCTTTCAGTTCAGATAGACAACGCAGGGGTAGGTGGACCAGATATTCAACAGCACGAAAATGGAGGGGGAAGACTAGGAACGTGCACCTCTAATTCCTACTGTTGAATGCAAACCTCTGGGGACTCAGCAATGAACTCTTGCATTGTAGTGTCTTTTGTAGTGTCCAGTGCCCAATTTCAGCATGGAAGAAGTCTTAGTCAGGAAGTCATATGCAGCTACTAATGAGATCCATCCCATAGGTTAGTCACCTATGACTGATTTCCAAGCATCTTCATCCAGCTCTATCAGCTGTGTTAGTCATTTAAAATTTTTTCTTCTCTCCCTCTCTGCTGCGAGCATTGCACTAGGCGCAGTAATCATGAACGGGAGCACGCAGCTCTGAAAACCCCAGAGGAAGTGGCAGAAGAGACCTGTTGGGTTGCGCTCATCATGCTTCCTGTGCCTGTAGGAAAATGTGTTGCAAAAGCCCTGACACACTGCTCTCCTATGCACCTGTGGCTAGTCCTGAGCATTGCTGAGATTCTCCTGTATATTTACAACAAATTAGTGACTTTTGGTCCATGTCAGCCTCGGGGTCATTAAGACCCCTGGTAATATCAGGCATGAGTGAGGGATGTTAAGCTATGGGGTGATGTTTCTCCCATTAGCACCTTCTGCTCTCCTACACCCAGTGAAAGCCGTGTCCATCATCTCTCTGTGTATCACACATGTGTAATGGAGACTGGACTGTAATTCATAGGGCTGAATGTGACCCCACAGGAATTGGGGCATTGAGGAATACTCAAGGGAGGCTTGAACTACCTTTTCCATTAGAGCTAAAGACAATGTTTTAGTTGAAACATTTTCTCTGTTCCTTCCTTGGAAAAATTTCAAGGGGATCGACATTTTTCTGAAACACGGATCCATCCCCAGAAAAAAAGAAATTCTGCCACAACTTCAGCAAGCCAAACCCAGTGTTTGTAAAAAAGAAGTTTCAGTTGCTTCACTGAAAAGCTACGTGACAGTGCAAGAAAAAATAAGGGGAAAGCTTTCTAATTTCTTGGCAATATAAAATGTTTCATTCCCCTTTTGGGGGAGGAAAATAGAGAAGGACAGAAGCAAAACCCAAAAACACAAACTGCCAAACACAGACCTGCTGCCCTTCCCAGGAGCTGGGATGCAGCACACAGACCTCCTCCACCCTACTCGGATTTATGCCAGCTGGAGATCCGTCCTGGTGATCACAGGCAAAACTCTCAGGAAACACCTAAACTTCATGCAAACATGTTCTGCTCACTCCGGAGCGGATCCGAGCCATCTCTCAAACCTGAGTTCAGTTGTGGGATCTTTGCCCAGAGTCGGGACAAGATGAATTATTAATAAATTAGCCAGTTATTACCAGATTGGGTGTGCCTTGCATTAAAAACAACAAATCCCCCGCACCTGAAAGAGGAAGCATCTCTCACAGACCTTGACTGAAGTCCAGGTGTACGGAGGTGTCAGTGGAGCAGGTTCTGGTTGTGAAAGATTCTGGTCATCAAGTTAATCTGTTGTCATCAGCTCCCAGGGCTGACTTCTGAAAGCATATAAAAGCCTCCCATTTGGGAGGCTCTTTAACCTGAGTGGCTTCTTTTTCCCTTTCTCCAGCAGTAGGTGATACCAGGTGAGTCCTTCTGTACACATTTAGCTACACAGGTGAGGGTTTCTGGTGCTCTGTTCTTGGGAGACAGGGGGATTTTTCTTTCTTTTGTTTCCTCTAGTAACAGTTTCAGTTGTCTCCCTGCCAATTTTGCCTCCATACAGGTGAAGGCCATATTATGTTATTTTGAGACTTTCTGAGGCTCCAGACAATGGCTTGCTGGCTCTTTGGACCAGCAAACCCTTGTCAACCCTCATAATTTTTTTCCCAACTGGTAAGAATAACCACCGAGTATTGAGTATCAGCTACCAAAGGATGGCATCCACCGGCAGCTTGTTTTGCACCTGTTGAGCAGCTCTGGGCTGGTCACTGCAGTCTCCTGGATCTCCAGGGCTCTGAGTTTCACTTCTCTGTATAAAATCGTATCATCACTGAGCAGGAGGATGGTTCACCTGCATTTAATGGCGAGAGACATGACTCCTGCTCTGAGGCTCTCAATGAACTAAGCGGAGATGTGGCTGTTGCCAGAAGGGATTGTTATCAAACGATTTTTCTCTTTCAAAACCATTTGCAATACTGAAATGTCACTAGCTTTCTGCTCCTCTTTGACTAGTCTAAATATTGCTCTGAGGCTCTCCTTAAACTAAGTATACTTTCATTAAAATTTGTATTGCTTCTTAGCTTGTCAAAGCTGAAATGTTCAGAAAATAGTGAGCAGAGGGAAAGAAGGAAAACCCCTCTCATTGTTTCTTTTCCCTCCGCCTCTGTAGCTATTTACCTGTTTGGATCACAACTTTGTTAGGACGGTGCTTGCCTCTTATATTCATTTATGCTTATATACAGCTATGCCCTGAGGCCTCGGCAGCGTGGCTGATCTCCATAGAGGCTAACTGTGACGGGAGCCCAGAAAAGCAATATGGGGCAGCTACAGCAAACTGGAGTCACCAACACAAATTTGGTCTGAACAGCAGCACCCTCAGGGATTTCCAAGGGGGGGTGGGGTGTGTTTTTGCTGGTAGGATTAACTTTTGAAGGCTCTTCACTGTTGGTTTGATGTCAAAGCTGAAGAACTGACTGAAACTGTAATATCCAGAAAGGAGAGATGTGTAGGGCTTAAAATAACTGAAACGGCACCTTGGTTCTCTTCCAGGGTTAGCAAAGATGTCTTCCCACCAGCAGAAACAGCAGCAGCAAATACCTTCAAAATGCCAGGAAAAGTGCCCTCCAAAGTGTGTGGAGCAATGCCAGCCCCCAAAAGGGCAAGCCAAGTGTCCTGTGAAGACCATCCCGCAGCAGCAGCAGCAGCAGCAATGCCCAAAGCAGAAGTAGCACTAACAGAAACAGCCACAAAGTGCCATGGAAGATGCAAATGCTTATTTCCAAGCTGTCCTTCTGTCTGCTGGCTCTGCTCTCTGAATAGCTAGAAATTTGCATCACGCCTCCTTTGTTTGCAAGTAGAAATTGCTTTACAAAGAGATGCAATTCATTAACTTGGATTTATTCATCCTCTACTATAAAAAAAAAAAAAGTTGTGGGGCCATTTTATTCTGATCTTTAATTTGGGACATTCTACAATAAAATCATAAGTAACCTCATTACTTGCTTCCTGATATTTTTTCACTTTACTTGTGTCATTCATTCCCTTTTGCTTTCTTCTATTAGCCAAAGAATTACCTTTAAACATACACTTGTATATAAGGCACACATACGCAGGGACCCATGCCCATTTGCCTTCCAGATTTCCCAAGGGATTATTTG